CTCCTCCTTCGGTTCTGACAGTTAAAATATCACTGGGGTCACTATCTCCTGACTCGGAGGTCACTCTCATATATAGCTGGTATCTGGTTCCTTCCCGCAGGCCGCTCAAGGTGTATTCTTTCTCAGCAGATCTTGGAATTGTGATTTCGCTCCAAGGACCGTATTCGTCCTTGTAATAGAGAGTGTAATCTGCTGAAGAAAGGTATTAAACATTAAACAGTAATATTATTGCCAAGAGTAAGTTATTTAAATGGAGAAATTTAATTTACAACCGGCTAGAAACTTGATTCCATTTTTTTCACAGAGTAGGTATCCAAAATTTTAAAGGCAACAAAACACAGATATGCAAAATTTGATTAATAAAATAAGCAAGAGAACATAAATTTAACACAACTAATAAAATTATATAGCATCTCTTTTGAATTAGAAAATAGGTCAGGTTCATTAACCAAGGCACAAGACACTAAAATTGTTTGTCCTTTTGATGCCTTCGTAAAGAACGTTCTAAAGAAAATTGATTTATACAGGGTGTCTCATCAAAACCGCCCTGACTCTGCACAGCCAGATTCCTCGCTTGGAATACATAAAAAGGCCCAAAGAACTGTGTCTGTACGATTCATAGTTTTCGAGGAAAATGCAAAAGAAAAGTATGACGTCATATACAGTACAAGGAAAAGAAAAACTTCATTGAAAATATGATCATTCGTTTTTGCATACACTTCTACATACATATGTCTTACTTAGGAAGACGTTCAAAACATCCAACGTGCATGTCGAAGTACGCATGTGCATGCAGTGGAATGGCTGACTTCATACGTTGCAGCAGCGAGGTGCCATCAAAGCAGCATGAAGTCGAGAGACTAAGTCCTTTTCTGTAGTAATTAGATCTCGATAGATGAATTTCTTCAGATAAACCCACAGGAAAAAATACAAAGATGTCAGATCTGACGATCATGGTGGTTATAAAGCCGGACCCCCACGGCCAGCGGCCTGGGCATTTCATATCCGCCAATCATGTTTAGAAGCGTTGAAATGCGACGGAGCTCCTCATGCTGTAACCATACGCGATGTGACGGACATGACGTCATACTTTTCTTTCGCGTTTATCTCGAAAATTATAGGCCGTGCAGGTATAGTTCTTTGGCCACTTCTTATGGCATTCGAAGCGGAGAATCTGGCTGTGGGTGGTTTTGATAATACATCCTATATTTATGTTATACACCATGGAACCTATATTTATGTTATACACCATGGATACCTATATTTATGTTATACACTATGGAAACGCCCATACAACCACCCCGTTTGCCGAGATTTGAATTTGGAATCACAGAACTAGAGGACTATTTACAAAAATAAACGATTATATCGTGATCGAGGTACATAATAAATGGTATTAGAAAATTATTTATTTATTTTTCTAAAGAAATAAATAACTGCAAATATCATTAATTAGGTATAATGTTGCGTATACTTCTAATTCATAATTAGATATGCATATATTTTGATACTATATCTAATTATGATCAGATATATTACGTATAATATTTATAAATACTTAACTATTGATATCTGCGTAGTTTACTACGAACTATTGAACTCGATGATTTTGCAAAGTCATCTTTTACACTATTAAACTCTCATAATTGTAAAGTATTATATATATTTGTATTGTACATAATTATAAGTAAAAATTTACATAACTGAAAAGATAAAAAATGAGATTAAAAATTAAAATGATTTACATATATGGAATTTAAATCCTCTGTTTGTTTTATTCCTAAGCTATGTAGTTTATACCCGGGAATGGCAACAGTACGCAGTATGGTTTTACATTTCTATAATAATATAGCTTACTATAACAGAAAGCGGAGGGGGAGGAAATGCTAAGACTAAAGACACATCTAATACCAAAATATACGTTGATCGCGTGCAAAACAGAAAATTACACCAATACTACTTGTATATAGCAGTCTGTAGAAGTATATATGTATTTCTCCGGGTAAGTCAAGATCTGTGAAATATATGTATTCTGATACAAATAAAACTTCTAATAATGAACAGGGGAGAAAATGACTTTTGGTAGAACCACAAAGAAAAAGCTTTCACTTCTCTAATAGTAGAAAGCATGCGCATTCAGGATGTGAAAAGCAAAGAAAAGAAAAACTGTGAATTTAAAAATCATTGATGAGATGGTATGAAAAGGAAGCGAAAAATTAAAGGTTTTGTAACATATAAATAAACCCTTAACGTATTTTATTTTGATAGATTAGTAATCTTTTTAAAATTTTCAAATATACTTAATAAATGATATTAACAAAAACCAAGTAAATGATCTACATAAAAATAATACTTCAGGATTTGATCGAAAATTCAACATAAGCTAAATTACTTTTACAACTTCAAATTTAATACAGCACACTGCTACATAAAGCATACTTTTTGTTTATTTAGTTCAGTCTTTTTGTCTTTTATACACTCTTAAGTTAGTCCATTCTAACCGATAATAAAAATGTGCGGAGATACATTTTTAATGCTTTGTATAAAGGAAAACGATCATCAAATATTTCAATTACATTTCAACGAATAAACGCAACATGGGTTGAAGCCATGTAAAGTCATGGAGGGTACGCAGCTAATACACGTAACATTTTAAAACGTTTCACTTCCTTTGGGACTTTTACATCCATTTCCTGTTTTTTTCTATTAATTATATTATGATTGTTCTATTAGTAATTATTAGTATTTCTATTAGTAATTATTAGCACGAAACAGCTCCTATAAAATGAATAACTGCATTGTCTTACAGCAGAAAATTATGACAATAAAAAGATGTTAATATTTACAATTAAAAAAAGTTTATAAAAATCAGCTTACGTCGCGTACGGAGGCAATTCCAGAGAATGCTGTTCATAGCATTTATTTTATCTCAATTCGAAACAAATAATGCGATCATTATGTTAGAAATAACCTTAATGAAAAAATAATAATAATAAAAAAAAATTATAAAAAATTAAAATCTGAAAGCTTTCAGATTTTACATTATGCCCAAAGGGATGTTTTGTGTGTTACCTTTATTTATGAAATATCAAGTTCTTCGCACTTAAAACATAAAATTCAGTTTAATAGCAATACACAGTCTCGTGCACTGGAGATAATTTTTTTTCCCGTACAGTGTTGCCATTGCTGCTTTTAAATCGTTGAGTTTGTTAATCAAACATTCGTTAAAGTTTTACAAAAAATGCAATAGATAATAAAACAAATTCCAAATTTTGCTTCCAGATGTTCATATTCGGGTGCAAACGTACGTTATTCAAAATTTGATAACTGTAGGTACCGTTGTTTTATTACAATGCGAGAAACATACATACATTCACGTAGATTCTCCATTATTTAATTTCTTTAAATATAATACAGGGCGATAATATTTAGTGGCAACAATTTGAAAAGTGAACAGAGATTTATAGTGAACCAGCGCAAAATACCAAAACGAAATTAATAGTTCTTCTGGGCAAATTGCCCCTTTAGACTAAAAATGAATGAAATGAAAATTAATGAAAAGTAATAAATGCTGCTGTCTGAGATCTAAATAAGTAATTTCGTACAATTTAAAAAACGTACAATTTAAGAATAACGTACAATTTAAATTTTTAGAATACTTTTTCATTAAACATACTTCAGATTCTATTGCTGTAAGCTTTTCATTTTCCTTGTCACAATCGATTACTTTTATGACCTTGACGAATATTCGAACTTGCTCTTATATCACCTGCTCTATGCCTTCGAATTTTAAACCGGTTCTGTTGCATAAATAAACAATTTTCCTTGAATGTCGTAAGCTTATTCTACGTATTGTGTCTCGAAAATCTTTACAGTAATAGTTTATCAATAGTAAGGAACAGGGGCAAATAATCTAGGCAGTACAATCTAGGTTCAAAAACAAAAGTATTAAATAATTTTTACGTTGTTACAATAGCGCAAAAATAAGAATTTTGATGTTTTATTTTTCCTGTTAAAAATAATATTTTTCGAACATATTCAGAAGATAGATTATATAATCGCATATAAAATTGAATTCTTAAAAATATTAGAGTATAGAAAACTATATAAAATAGTGTTTTAAAATCCAATAGTGTTTTTAAATGCAATGTTGATTTAATATCGCTTCGAAGGAGTAAAATACTCATTTCCAATTTTATATATATTTTTTAATTTAAGGCTTCAGATAGCGCTTTCTAAAGATGATGGTCAATTTATTTTTGAATAAACATCCTTAAAAATTTACTCTTATTACAAAGATTACCTTACAACCAGTTTTTTAAAATAGTTTTTACTTTGAAAATTTGCTAAATACATATATAATGCGTTAAAATTCATAAAACTGATATAATTAATTATTTATGTAACAAAATTTCTCTATGTTATTCCACTAAATCAATAAAAATTCTTTCTTTTTAAGTTCGTCAAATTCTTACATTAGATAGATTAAGAAAATTTTAAATGTGCGCTTAAATAAAGGATCATGCGAAATGCAAAATAGTTTAATAATTTCCAGAGTATGTTTATCAGATCTACATAATTCATAATAAAATTATTTACGACACTGATTTACAAGACTATATTATTTAACGGTATTTTCAGTTATTTTTCGACTCTTATTTGTGTTTTATCTCAGAAACTTTTAAATATTTTAATATATGAATTGAGAAGCAATAACATCACATATAAAGATAAAATTAAAATTTTGTTTTTATTTATTTGAAAACATCCTATTATTTGTAAACTATTTTGATATATGTAATTAACCTTCTGTTTCTTCTTTTGTACTATACTTTGTAAAGTAATTAAGATTTTTGACGCGGTTTGCAGGAGACGTGAAAAATGTTCCAAAATTCTCACTCGAAACCTGGATCTCTCGAATGCGCGTCGAGTATGTTTCCAATTACACCAGAAATACATGCAAAAAGGAGGGAGAAAATACCTTATAACTTCTTAAAAACAATTTCACTCCGTAGGGTTTCTTAGAAACCGTCTACCGTGTAAAAAAAGGATTGGGTGAAATACGAAAAATAATTAATCGACCATATACATATTTTCAGAAGAAAACAAACATACACAATGTCACTTATATCATCAAAATAATATTTACAAAAAATCTGTGCTTAAAATGAAGTAGATTTACAACTTTGTTT